GCAACCTCGCGTGGTTAACTAGTTCACTAGTTACTAGCCGGTCCTAAGCCCTGGTAAAGAGGGAAGGTTGGGCGTAGGGCTAGCAACCCTACCCCGGAAAACAAATCTAACCGCTAAAGAAACTTCTGAACACAAAGAAAATATAAAAAATAAAAACAAACTTATTCTTCCCTGGAATCGGAGAGGCGAAATGACGCCAGTTGGTGAAAGCATTCGGGAAGCCAATTGGCCGATGTGTCTTCTCTTCTCTCGATGAAAGCAAAAGTAAGGATAGGAACATGGAATGTCCGCACCATGTTTGAACCCAGCAAGGCAGCCCAGATTGCAAACGAGATGAAGAGGTATCACATTGAAGTGCTGGGAATTTGCGAAAGTAGATGGAATGGAAGTGGACTCTCCAAACTGTTAACTAGAGAATCAATAATCTACTCAGATATTGTCACCCAGACGATAACCACGAGCACACTGACTTTGGAGTGGCTATCATGATGTCCCCAAGAACATCGAAGGCTCTCATGCAGTGGGAACCAATCTCCTCCAGGATCATAACAGCAAGGTTCAACTTAAAAGGAAGGAAAGTTACAACACACAATACTACGTTATCCACCTACAAATGATGCAGATCAAGAGAAGAAGGAGGAATTCTACAGACAACTGCAATCAGCACTGGACAAGAACTCAGTTGGCGACATCAAAATTCTAATGGGAGACATGAATGCCAGCCAAACTGGGAGCGGAAAACACAGGAAGGAACTAACCATGGGCCGAGAAGCGCTAGGTGAAATGAACGAGAATGGAGAATTGTTTGCAGACTACTGCACATTTAATGATTTGGTGATTGAAGGCAGTGTGTTCAAGCACAAGGATATCCACAAAGCGACATGGATTTCACCAGATGGACACACTACACTAAAAAACAGATCGACTTTATCTCAATCTCAAGAAAGTGGAGACGCAGCCTACTTGACACAAGGTCAAGAAGAGGAGCAGATGTAGAATCACACCACTCACTATCTAGTGCAAGGAACCTTCCAAATCAAGTTGAACGCCTTCAAGGAAGCTGGTGATAGACCACAGTTCAAGTACAACACTCGGAAACTGAAGGACGAAACTACAGAGGACATCTTCACGGCAGCCATCAAAACAAAATGGGAGATATCGAAGAACATCTCTGAAGAAACCTGTGTGTATGAACACTGGAAGTCTTTGAAAGAGATGTGGAAAGAAACCTGCATAACCGTATTAGGAAGGAAGAAGAAAGAAGATAAGGAATGGATCTCGACGGACACATGGAAGCTGATAGAGGAAGGAGAGGAGGATGGTGAAGCAGAAGATAAGCCAGTGCAAGGATGCACAATGAGAAGAGGAACTGAGTACAATGTATAAAATACTGGACAAAGAAGTGAAGAAGAGTGCGCGGTAAGACAAAGGACACTTCCACGACACACTTGCAAGTGAAGCAGAACAGGCTGCTGCAGGTAGGAGAGATAGAAAACTGACAACATTGTATCAAATAATCCGGTTACTATCTGGGAAGAGATCAACACAGATGAAACCAATAAAAGACGATGAAGGAAATATAATTACCAAAGAAGAGAAACAAAGGAAACGATGGGCCGACCACTTCAAGAAGCTCTTGAATCGACCACCACCTGCAGCCCAGCCACAGAACTACAAGTGAACACAAATCCTCCAACAAAAGTGGAAGTCCTGAGCGCCATAAAGCTACTGAAATGTGGGAAAGCAGCTGGACCAGATGGAATCCTGCCAGAAGCACTGAAAACAGACACAGAGACAACAGCGGATATGCTCACACCACACCACTGTTGCAGAAAGTCTGGAAGGAAGGGAAGGTACCTGACGATCGGAAGAAGGGCGACCTAAGTGTTTGCGAGAACTGGCGCGGAATCACGCTCCTGTCTACCCAAAGCAAGCAAAGTATTAGGCCGCACCATCCTGGAGAGACTAACGGATACACTGGATTCAAAACTACGACCGGAACAGGCTGGCTGGATTCAGGAAGTACAAATCATGCGCGGACCAAATTGCAACGCTTCGCATCATCATGGAACAGAGTATAGAATGGCAGTCAATCCTCTACCTCAACTTCATTGACTTTGAAAAGGCCTTTGACAGCGTTGACCGAGAGGTAATTTGGAAACTGTCTCAACACTACTGCTTTAATGCCACAAACCTTTATCAACCTCATTGAACAACTATTTGAAGACGCCTCATGCCAAGTAATTCACAATGGAAAGCTCAGTGACACCTTTGAAGTGAAGACAGGAGTGAAACAAGGCTGCTTACTATCACCCATGATATTCCTGATTGTAGTGGACTGGATCATGCAACAAACAGTGAGGAGCGAGAAGAGGGGGATACGCTGGACCTCGGAAAAGAACCTAGAAGACTTGGATTTCGCGGATGACTTGTGTCTGATGTCGCACAAACTTGAAGATCTACAGGCGAAAACTAACAAGTTGGCAGAAGAGGCAGGACAGCGAAGACGAGGCTTCAAGTGAATACAGAGAAGACAGAGGTGATGAAGATACCACAACCAACAACAACAAACTCCAATCACCATCAATGGGAGAAACTTAAAGGAGGAAGTAGCCTCCTTCACCTATCTAGGCAGCAGTTTCAACTACAGGCGGCACAGACGAGGATGTCAAAGTCAGGATCGGAAAAGCAAGACAGGCGTTCATTAGCCTGAAACCAGTGTGCAGATCTTCTGCACTCAGCATGTGGAACAAGATCCGGATTTTCAACACCAACGTCAAGTCAGTGCTTCTGTATGGTTCAGAGACTTGGCACGTTACGAAAGGGATTTCCAACAAACTAGAGACTTTCATCAACAACTGCTTACGCTCGTTACTGAAGATCAGATGGCCAGAAAGAATAAGCAACAAGGAACTCACTCTGCCAACGAACCAACCAAGAACCTATCGCTCAACAAACATGCGGAAGAAGGAAGTGGAGATGGATTGGGCATACACTGAGAAGGCCGACTGGGGACATCACGCGTCAGGCCGTAGAGTGGAACCCCGATGGGAAACAATGAGCTGGGTGTCCGAGGTGAGGGTGACATGGAGGAGATCGTGTGAGGAGGAAATGAGAGGTTGTGGGCTGTCGTGGAGCCAGGTTCAAAAGATTCCAGAGAACCTAGTGCATTGGAGACGTGCTAGTGAAGCCCTATGTTCCATTAGGAACTCAAGGGACAAGCAAGTAATAATTATTTCACGTACAAATTTTACATTAAGTGTTCAAAAAGATTGAAAGCGAAAATTTGCGTAAAACATGTCTATCTCCAAGCGATTTTGGTCACGGGTCAGTGTCAGCCAGTTACTGAGCTAATCAATTATAAACTTGAACAAATTCAGATCGCAGAGTTTATATTTGTTGCTGTTGTTAGAAAGTCAATCCAACTTGACTGAGTAACTTGAATTCACAATAAAATCTCTTATCCTTTTGACCTTCTGAGATAGCCGTGTTTTAGGAAACTAGTAATGATACTGGGTGATGACTGATAGTCAAAATAGCAACCAATATGATGCTTCACCTCTTTAATTCAGTTAGATTTGGTTTGCGATGAGAAGTTCTAACTGGGTAGCCAGCGTGAGTACGATCAAGCGGTAGCAATGCATAATGAATTCACATGAGATTCAGGCGAAACTCTTGGTGAAAGAAGTAAAATAAAGATCTCATCAACAGTCGGGTATCGTAGCTCATTTGGTAGAGTACTGGACCAGAAACGCGATAGTTACAAGTTCGGATCCTGCTATGGGCCAGATTTTTATTCAACCTTTAATCAATCATCCAGTATCAACAAAATTCCTGACGAAAAATTGTTTTTAATACAAAACTTTGAGTGTCCTTATCTGGATAACTACCATGTTACCTCCTACCTGACTTATAAAAGTATAAGAACCTTTGTTAAATGATATACTTCTACTTTTGTATTATCCTAGTCAAATGATATACTTACTTTCTCCATCAGAAAAAGCTTTTTTTCGTAAAAAATAACTTAATGTGACTTAGTTAAAAAGTTCACCAAAATAGTGAAACATTAAAAATTAAAAGATTTCTTTTCCTGAAAAGTACTATTTTAAGGATAACTTTACTTTTCAGAATTTGGCAGCTGCCTAGTAAAAATACCTAGTCAGTAATTCCAATCAACCATCATAATAGTCTTATTAGATAGAAAAAATTTACAGAAGTAAATTCAGGGAAGAAAATTCTTTTTTCAAAAGATCAGTACCAGAGGCTGTACAGCCGTAATTATGGTTACAACCAGAAAATATGTATCCATCTGTAGCTAATGAGTCAATATTAAGTCATGTAATTTTTCACTTAAAAATATACAAACTCAAAAATAAATAATTGGTGACATAATACCGGACAATACCCCAGTTATTAGGTTTATAACTCCACATGTCACTTCAGTGACTTGTATTAGTGAGTCTTGTGACTAGTGTGAGTGTGATTGTCACTAATTACAGTTCTTAAACCTTAATAACACAAAAGTGATCCTGTTGAAGTCATTTGCATTTCTTTTTGTTGTACTAAGGTTATCTATTAGCGAATTGATTTCTCCTACGAGAGCATAGAATATACAAACATTCAGTTGTTCCTAGTTAGTTCTTATGTACTGAAGATACCTACTAGAACATAGAAGCGGAAAACCAGTAACTTAACGAAGAAATATTTTCTTCGGTTTTGTTTAAACTTGAGAAAGAATCAATTTACCTACGCTAAATCTGCCTATCATGTGTATTCCGACTACTATTTTCAATAATTTATCATGCTACTTGTAATTTATAAGTAGCTCAAATCTATTTAACACTTTTCTGTTGGGTTGATCTTTTCTTCAGTCACCGGGTGAATCTATTTCCTGTCCTCTTTCAGTCGAGCTAGAATTTAGGTAACTTGCTCAACTACCACTAAGCAAACATGACATAATCATTGTCTTCTGACTAATTATTTCGATTTTTACTTTTCAGACTATGTAGAGCTGTTCAACATGAACTGGAGCAGGATTGTTCAGACAAATTTAGAGCATTACAGTTGGATCAGTTAGCTCATCAACTACGTAATTCATCTGCCAATATTTCAATGCATGGAGATATTGAGAAATTTAAAAAATGGTGAGTTGAAATTATCAGTTTTTGTTTGCCGCCTGAGTAATAAATGAATGTAGTAATTTACCAAAGATAAATACGTCTTTTTCAAATCTTATATTAAGCCAGTATCGAACAGAAAATGATTGTTAATTTCTTTCTCAAGGTATTATAGGGCAAAACTTCCTAGAGTTGTACCTAATTTTGAAACTACTTCTTATAATTGTTTCATTCACCAGGTTCTTTTTCTAGGATGCCTCTTAGCTACTTGCACAAAGTATAATTCCAATCAATATTTCTCAATGTGTATGACTAGTACCTTAAAAAGGAATCTCTAGATTTCATCTGTATGAACACTAAAACCTGAGATTATTAATGATTTTAACTTTATTCTCGTTATGCAACTAACTTGTTTTACGTAAAATTCGCATTTCTGAAAGCAACACTTGCACCTAGTCAGTGGTAACTTCAGGAATCGGAGATTAGAAGTAAAGTAATTTAGAATGCCATATCTTTATTGTCGTCATTCATTAACAGTAATCTCATGTGTTAATAATCCATTTTACTTAAGAAACCTTGGACTTTTAAGTAAGATATACAGAAATTAATTTTTAGCATGACGTTTCTATGAAATTAAAGCCAAACAAGACAGAATATAAAATGCAGTAACATAACGACTCAGTATTTGAACAACAGAATAGACAGACAAATACGCACATAAATCAACTTTCATGCTTGCTTAAGAACACATCAACCTCAAGTTCCTATATTTTCCTAAAGCAGAAAAAGAAGGTAATCTAAAGCTGAATCATACTGGAAGACATAAGAATTTGCGTGAAATTGTTCAAGATTTAGTTTTGTTAAAACATGGCCGTTAGAAGTAGAAGACATGAAGCGACTACAGGGTTTTCATCACAGGTGTCTTCTTAACATTGCTCGCGTTAGGTGGAATCACCGTGTGAGAAATGTTGAGGTCAAATGAACGATATCATGCAGGAGGTTATGAATCATAGTCAACTGAGATGGTATGGACATCTACTGCATATGCCAAGTCACAGCCTACTTCAACGTGTCATGCTGGCAGAGGTTGGATTAGGCTGGGAGAGAGTTCAAGGTGAGCAGACCAAGATGTGGCACCAGTTGATGGAGTCTCTGACTGTTGTTCTGAGCTGTTTGGGGATATACAGACTGACTGACTGACTGACTGACTGACTGACTGACTGACTGCTGACTGACTGACTGACTGACTGACTGACTGACTGACTGACTGACTGACTGACTGACTGACTGACTGACTGACGTCCCCGAGGTGATGAGGACCAATAGTTGGGGATTCTGGTGATATGTCTGACGGTCAGTAACAGTGGAGCTGATGTATTTACTCCCGGACGTCTTCAAAATTTTGAATCTTTGCACTGACTCTTATCTTCCGACTGCTTATTGTCTCACTCAACTTTGCCTGTTCTGATATCAGTCCTTTTCTAGCTACTTATTCTTCATATACTACCATGATGAAGTGTGGCAATTTTAATGGATGCATTTGTGTTCAAGGTTCTATGTTGATTTCATCCATCTGTATGGATTTCGATGAAATTAAGAGGAAAAATGTACTTACCCTATCATCAATAATTATCCACCACATCTTGCACGGTCATTATACGCTGATTTACAGCATCTGAAGTATCTAAACCAATAACTCAAGTCGTTACAAAACCCATATCAATGATCAGTGACCTTATGGATTAGTTTCATGTCGTGCTTTGCTTCTGACCAAGTGTTATATGTCCATCAGTATCATGTGTGCTAATGTTCTCAGCTCGAACAAGTTCATAGTCCCACTTACCGACTTGGTTTTTTTTACATAGAGCTGTTAAAATAAACTTAACGGTTTCTTCCTTGATGTACTGTAATATCTTTTCATTAGTTCAGTATCTCATTCCAATAGCTACGCGTAACTTTGTATTATTTATCTGTACTGTCTGTACTTCACAAATATTAAGCGAGACAAGGGAAGATGCAGTTTAGTGTATTCATGTTTTGACAGATACTCTGATACTGCAATGGTCCAATAATGGTCTCAGTGTATGCAGGAACGAAAAGATTCAGCAAAGGAAAAAGTAGGAAAGATATTTAACCAGAACATCAGTTGGTTGCAGAGCTACAAATCATTTCAAGAGTAAAATCGGACAACTTTGTTCTTCATGTGAAATGAGTTACTAAACACATTGCTAAGTTAGTTGAACAGCGGCAAATTGACAAAAACACTGATGTCAACAATAGTAATGACTTTGGATGTCTTTCACAGAAATCCGAAGCCAAAATGATCGAACACCCGAGTTGTTTAAAATCTAAAACACAGGATTTAACTAAGGAACGGTACTGTGCTAATAAACAGTAGTGACCAGTGAATTAAAAACAGTTAAAATTTGCGTGTTACTGAACTTGTTACCGTCTAAAGCACCTTGTATGAAGTGCGTCAACAATATTAACAGGAAAGCTTTGTCGAAAGCAAACTAGAGAAAAATGTGGAAAACGCGTGGAACCCTAGGGCGAGGTAAAGACATAATATCAACAAATCTTCAAGAGAAGATACAACACAACGGAACTAACCGAAAGTAGCACAAAGTAATCATAAGATGGGAAAGATACGAGTATCCTAAACTGCTAAATAACAAACTAATGATGATCTATCAAAGCTGAGAAAAAGGTAACATTTTCGAAGGGAATGGTTACACTACTTGTTACTAGGTAGTAGCACAAAGCTTTGTGCATAAAGGGATGAAGGTGTGAAATCACAATAGAAGGAAATTAGAACACAGTAACAAATGAATTAAAAAAGACACTAGTAAAAGTAATGATGATAACAGTAGTGGTGAATAATTGTTTTGATCCAAATTCCCTCTAAAATTCACTATCAAAGTTAGCTAAGCAAATTTTCAAAAGGTAGTAACAGTTGATTTGTTCACAAATTGACACCTAATATGATTAAAACATGACTCGTGCGTGGCTACAGAAGTAAAAACCACTGGAACAACGCAAAAGATAACAAGTAGTGTAGGATAATACTAGGTACACTTATCATTTGTGCTCTGTTCAAGTTCAAAACTGGAAAGAATTGTAAAAATCACTTTAAAAGTCTCTGAATTTTTCTAGTCATTCTGTTGTATTTTGTCGGAATGATGGATAGTGACCAGCAGTGGAATCCAACCTGATAAGTGTTTCGTCCTTTTTAGGACATGTCAGCCGAATGTATCTGGCCTCCAGTGAATAGTGCTGTTTTCACTAACACAAACAATAACATTTTTAAATATCCTTACCAAAACCATATTGTTATTATATTGTATTAAGTTGGAGAAAGGAAATGATTTCTTTTTGTTGTTATGGTTTAAAGTTCCTAACAAGTCATTCAGGAATGCATTCTCTTGTTATATTTGTCATAATAAATATTTCAGGATGAGCGTGCCAGAGAAATGGGCTGAGCATACAAGTGCTAATTTAAAGCGTTCTCAAGCTGAACGCGCTACTAGTCAATCGATACGTGAAGCAGTTGAACATTGCCTAGGATCAACATTTAGTAAAATACGTGAATTATGGTCTTCAACTAATGCAAGTCTATCTCAGCGTATTCATGAAACTATGGATGCTAAGAATAGAATACAAGTTCAGTTAGAAAAAGTATGTATACAAGTTTTGAATGAAATACTTTTCAACTGGGTATTATTTATTGTTCACATCAGTATCGTGTATATATTAATGTTAATAACTGTGTTAAATCATCTGTCTGTGTAGTCTAGATTATTGTTTAACTACCATTATGATTTATAGGTAGTAAAAACACAGAACCCGTGTCCGAAGCAAACGAGAAGAGAACATAAAAGAAGCGCGTATCACGCGACGACGTAAAGACACGAGGTAAACATATGCTCAAGATAAAATGGAGTAGCAGAGAACAATAAAAGAAATCCCAACGGCTTCAGAAACAAGTAAAGGTACTAATATCTAGGAATATTATATGATGAACCAGATACAACTGAATAGAATGAACAGCCAAATTGTATATAGAGTAACATTGTAAGAAAACATAAATCATACTACTCAATGTCAGTAAGTAGCATAAATCTTAGGGTACAAAAAGGGAAACAAGGGTAAAATAACACAGGGTAAATGGGGTCAAGTAGGATAGGAATCAACACCGCCTCCTCAAAGCTAGTATGGCTTTCCCTAATGCGTACTCTGGCAGAATACAGAAACAGTACAATTTACTGTTACTACAATTGTATCTCCTAGTCAAAAACAGCCCTAAAACGTTTTTCGTCCAACCCTTTTCCACTAGTAACAATAACGGTGGAGGACAGAAACTTAGCATCACTAATGCTAACAGAAGATCTAACTTTAACTGTTTCACTCTTCTTACCAGTCAAGTCCCTTTGCTGACATATGCACTTATCATCACCTTTGCTACGGTTCTTCAATATTTCTCTCCATTGATGTTTTCTACGTGTTGATGACGCCATTCGTGGATACCTTACTTCTTGCAGCATCATACTTTGGGCTGAATCCGAAGCTTTTGGCTCTTCTAAGGTCTCAGGGAATAGACTTATCTATTTATGGGATGTTTTATTGCTTGCTGTAGTTCTGTTGGAATTGGATGGTACCAGAATCTGCGATGGCACTATTCTTCGTGAACTCTACGGGGGCATCTACAGCATATCCACAGTCCTTGATAGTATTTAAAAGCTTACACTGGATAACACCACTAAAAGAGGCACCTGCGTGCCCACTGAAGAATCCCACTCTGTACTGCTTTTGTGTTTTCACATCTACGAGTTCTTTAATTTTCAAACGATGTACAGTGGTATTTTGTAACACTATGCGTCGTTTCGCTGTCCTAAAAACTTTCTTTTCTTTAGTTAGCACTGAACTTTAATTATGTGTCTGATGATCTCACAGTTTTTCACTGAACAATTTCGATAAACTTATCTTTAGAATTTCATTCGTTTCGAAAGAAACTAACATCATGTTTAGTGTTGAATGTTCAGATATAATTTTTTTAATAGAAAGAGATTTCAGCCACTTAGTAGTTCTAATAGAAACTGACTTAATGAAGAATATCTATTGCCACTTATCTATAACACGTAGAATCTTCTGAAAACTCAAACAGTATTGAAATACCCTTTTGTTCTGTGTTGTATTCTTCCTTGAATTGGATATTTCCTTGTTAGTTCCAGTTTGGGTCCTCTCTGGAAACTATCAAGTTATGATCTGCTTTGATTATCTTCACTGAAAAGTAAGTTTAATCTAATTGTAAAACTTGTGCACTGATTGATATAGCACAGTGTGACACAGAGGTGTAATACAAGAGGTCACTATCAGTGGCTTAGTCGTTAACGCTCTGGCGTCTGAAGCGAAGCGTACTGGGTACAGCTACATCCAGCAGTCGTCTCAAATAGGACGAAATGTGCGTCCTGGATTCCTCTGCTGGTCATCAAAGTCAACATAACGGTATTACTTACTTGATGACGTTTTGAGTATAAATTATTGCTCATAATCATATCAGTGTAATCATACGACTTTCGACATCTGACTTTTATAATCCTATCACTTCATATGTTTTTGTTTTTATTGTTAGTACGTAGAATTATGAACAAGAGTGTAATTAGGGTAGGATTCAAATCTTTTTTGGTTTTAAGGATCGGATAAACCCAAATAAATAAAATTCAATATGATGACTATGAAGTCAAGTGCATAGGTCAAACCAGCTGATTGGGGTCAGTCAAATTAGTGGAACATAGTAATTTGGTCAGGTATATAATGACACCATAATATGATCAGTGATCTAGAAGAGAACTCGATTCTTGCAATGCACGCCTTAACACACAGCCACATAATAGAGTGGGATTAATAAAACCACTGTACTTAAGTTTAATATAGTTGTGTGAATAAAGAGTGAGAGACAGAGAGATAATTTGCTTATTGAACCCTTATTCATCTAATTAACACCAAACACATGTAATAGGAGTGATCGAACACCTATGCCAGAGATGCGGAAAATTTTACTACTATCAGAAAACAAAAAACATAAAGTGACAGGACCATAAAAACCGAATGTTGAAAGTTGTGTGATTGCTCTGACTAGATAATGACCAATAACTTATGCCCGATATGTCATGAAGTAAATAATACTATGACACTCACTGTGTGCTATATCAATCAAATAAACAAATCTAATATTATGATTTTGACCATCTGAGATAGTTGTGGTTTGGCAGACAAGTATTGATACTGGGTGATGACTGAAGGTGAAATGAAAATTTAGACCGCGGTGAGACTCGAACCAGAGACCAAAAAAGTATCTTTACGAGTGATTGATCCAATCATTTATGACTAACGACTATTATTATTTTGTCCATCAAAGTTTCTAGTCTGTTTGTTGCGTCATTTATTTTAGTGTGTTTATTAGAAATGTCACACAGTAAAAGAATAGTATAATTTACTGGATAACCTTTTGGACATGATTTATTGTCCATATTCATATCAGGCAAACTCACAACTTTAAGACAGTTTATATAGTCTTAATTTTCTCTCCTTTGTGACAAGGGTAGTAGAATTTTCCATATATCTGGGACAGGTGCAAAATCATTTCTGCTGCATGTATTTGGTGTTGATTCAATAAAAAAAGATTCAGTTATCAATCTCTCTTGTACCCAACTAAGTTAGTTCCTAATAATGTGGTACTATTCAACCCCATTATGAGCACAGCGAAGGCCCAACTTTTCTCCTTATCGTACTATAATCTAATAAGCCTGGTTTAGTTGAGTTCTTGTGCTTTGTTATTCTAATTGACCCTGACAGACTACTTTAAGTGACCTATGTGTTTGACTTCGTAGTCACTGCAAGAGTTCCGACAAACTAAATTATTCTACCTAATTGGATAAAAGGATTTTACAACGTACAAAGTTTATTTCTAAGTTTAACTGCCACTGTAAACCCAACTTTATTGAAAATCCTACGTAATGTCTCTTAGATACCTTGCTTGTTTAGTAACACAATAGAAGTTTTGAATTCTCGCTCCACCCTGTCATTATTACTACTATTATTAGTAGAATTATTGATAATAAACCTTTGTTACTGCTACAACTACTACTCATATTCCCCTCTCAATTTTTTATTAGTTTATTGAAAAAGTTAGGTGGGTAATTATTGAGATGTGAGGTATTCTTGATGCATCTAGTTTCTTGTCGTAGATATTCTATCACCCTAGTAAGCATTTTTGTCCTACTACATAGGCATTTAACTAAGCCTGCTTTAACTGAGATAGGCTGATATGATTTGAAGTTTAAACAGAGATTCCGGTGGGAAGGTTTCGTATAGACACTAGTCAATAAACTTTCATCTTGCTTACGTTTAATCTTGCAATACAACATTACTAGCTCACCTTCATCTCTTGCCAAGTCATGGGTAAAGTTCTCTGCATTCATTACTAAATTTATATGCATGATGTGTTCCGATTTCAGTACTGTAAATGTGTCATTCAAAATGGAATTATAATCTACCACAGTGGCAAGGTTTGTTACATCATTCTTGATGTGTATTACGGACGTACAAAGATAAATACGTCACTAGCCTAGATGATTTTATCTGCCTTTCATTTTATTGGTTGAAGGTAGCCTAATAAACAAATTTCACGTCATTAGAATGTAGGAAAATATTCAAATAACTGATTTCACTTACCTGATACCTTCTTCCTCAATGTTGGTAGTAACTTGTTGATGGGGCCACGCACATTAAATGCGGTTTAATTAAGCGAATTAATTTCACATACCAACTGATTGTTTGTATTTCGTGTTCCGTATAACTGAAACGAATAATGCAACCAACTGAACAGCTATATTTCGTTTAGTGAACCAATAGAATTTTCTGACTGAAAGACAGCAGTCAGCATAGAATAGTGCAGCAGCATGCACCAATCACCTCCCTTAAATGTTTCCACACGTAGGGATTCATATGCAAAAGCTCAGTAGTTATTTTATTTACATTAATATTTGTCCTTTGGGTTCCTAGTGGAAAATACCGCTTCAGTAGCACGCCTCCATTTCACTCTCTTCTCTCTAGTCTTTTCAACCTCACTCCACAACTGCCCACAAGCTTTCATTTCTCCTACACATGATCTCCTTCATCTCACCCTCGGACGCCCATCTCGTCGTTTCCCATCTGGGTTCCACTCGAGGGCCCGGCGCGTGATGTCCCCAATCGGTCTTCTAAGTGTATCTCCAGTCCAATCCATCTCCACTTTCTTCTGCACATATGTTGGGTGATGGGTTCTTGGTTGGTTCGTTGCCAGGCCAGAGTTCCTTGTTGCTTGTTCTTCCTGGCCATCTGAGCTTCAGTAACGAGCGTAGGCAGTTGTTGATGAATGTCTGCAATTTATTGGAAATGCTTTTCGTGATACGCCAAGTCTCTGAACCATCACATAGAAGCATTGACTTGATTGGCATTATTGTTGAAAATCCGAATCTTGTTGTTTATCCTGAGTGCGGAAGATCTCCACACTGATTTCAGACTAATGAAAGCCTGTCTTGCTTCTCCGATCCTGGTTTTCACATCCTCGTCTGTGCCGCCTGTAGTTGAAACGATGCTGCCTGCCTAGGTAGGTGAAAGAGGCAACTTCCTTTAGA